TCCAACAACCGGTTCTCTGAACTGCTTAGAAAGTTAGCAACCGGTTCTCCCGAATAGGTGCGGACTGGCTGAATCTCACCACTGGTTCTGTCCTAACAGAGCAGCTGAAAGTGTACACAAATGGATATTGTATTTTGCAGTGTCAAAAACTGCATGGACACCAAGTAGATTACAACAGCCTATAGATAAAGTGCGTTGGATGGGCTGCTAGATCTTTGACATAGACAAAACTTTGGTTGTCTTCTACTAAAGCTGAAGGCATCAAGGCTCTCAGCTGCTGTCATTTGAGACCATTTCCTCCCTCTGTCTAATTCTAAGGCCAGATCTACTTGTAGTATTTCTCTTTTTTTATTTTAGATCATGAATTTGTTGATATAGCAAGGTTCATTTCTAAACTATGATCTGTTATATTGAACAAAAAATGATCCATGCCTTTTTCCTAACTTTTAAAACCGTGTCTTAATCTTTAGGGCTTTTACAGCCCCTGATTTGTGTTTTGTTGGTTATGCTTACGGTGATGATGCGCTTTATAGAGCACTGAAAAAATAATAAATAGAATATTTTTTAAAATATATATATATATGATAATAATTAAACTTCTCAACAGCTGGTGTGAGGTTTAAGATTTTGCTTTACTGCAGGAGCAACAGCTGTTTTACAGTTGGTAGATTTATTCCTTATTCCTTTGTTTCAGATTTATAATATTTTCAGATTTATAATATAAACAACAAAGTGGTTATTAACTGGCTTGTTAACAACTATGCCAGTGCCAAGGTAGGGTAGAGAATTTGTGTTTTATTTCCCATTTTACGACGTGGCTTTAATTTGTTTTATGAGGTTTTATTGTTTATAAAAGTAGCATTTCTTGCAAATGTGAATGTCCTTAACCTTTTATGTACCACATAGACGAGAGTCCCTTTCCTGCAAACGATTGTGCAACACCTTCTGAAAAGCACATGTCAGACAACAAAACCCACAGCCTTGAGGGAAGGGCAAAAATTAATTTTGTCCACCTATTTAAGTGAAGAGATTTAATTTGCAATCCCCAAACTAATATGTGGATCAAAAGAGAGCTCTTCTTTGGATGTTCCACTTCTCCAAATATTGCAACGCACTGCTGCCCACAATAATTATATGTCCATATGTCTACATTCCGATACAAAATGTGCATAGCAGTGAAAAATTCATACAAAATTAAGCAAGAACCAGTATGTTACAAACTGAAGGTGGGCATATAAACGTTATTGGGAGACTGTCCCAAACGGGATTATGGGAAAGAGAATGGGAAGAGGAAATCTACTATGTATGCCAAAGGTGGGTTTCTGCTGGTTCACCCCAGATCAGGAGAACTGGTAGTGGCGGCATCGGGAAGCTCCACCCACCCGGTTGGACGCTTCTGTGCATGCGCAAAAGCGTCATGTGAGTTCACACGCAGGCACAAGCGAA